GGCCTATTCCGGCTCCGTTTCTCCTACAATGAAAAGTATTTTGTGTGATCTACCCCTTGCAAGGAATTAAAATTACGAATAATTTAATCATATTAGCCTCAGTTATCCTAGGATTGGATGTGGACTGAGTCACGGCAAAATTGCGCCATTATTCACATTTCACTCAAATGTCGATTGCATTTTACTTTTTGGTCAAAATGTAGCAGCACGGAGATCTTGAAGTATGCTTGAAATAGAATAACAGCGAAGCATTTGACGATGGTGCAGGAAACCCATATCTCAGTAATTTTAAATTAAGGCAAATTAATTAACGCCAAGACTTTAATACCTAACATCGGCAAAATTTTGTTCCAAAGTAAGGTAAATCTTCGCTACATGCGTCAGCATTTCTACAGGGGAAATGATTTTGTGGAACTCCTCAACTCAAACATCCGCCAAATACGAAGGTATAACTTTCAAAGGATAAACAAAGATTAAAAGCTTACCATCTTGATGCACATTGTATTTGTAAAAACTATTGAGCGTGCATGCAATTTTGATGTGCATTAAAAATGAATTCCAACAAATTTTTCCCATATACAGATCACTTCCAAAGCCCCATAATTGTCTACAATGTGTTAGCCATCCATTTCTGCATCTTTTGAAGGTTTCAATCAGCCGAGAAAAGGAAAGCTTTTACACAGTGCTATGATGACTAAGAGTGGAGCATTCCCAACCACTTTTATTGTGAGGTAGTTAAAACTTTTCTAAGTGTAAATGACTACATTGGGGCTGTTGGTTGGATTGGGGTCAGGTAACACCAAATTACTCAGGGAATCATTAACCAGCATAGCGGTAAGCATTCTCTGTAAGCAGAAATTTACTTCGAAATTTGATCTGCCACACCCAGAAAATTGGTGGCGCTGGCAACTGACATTAGCAATGTCTCTAGAGAGATTCTTTTGCCTGCATTATAAGAATGAACCGCCAAGGAGGGAAACTGAAAGGGAAGGTGAGGAATTAACTTGTTATGCTCATCCCAATGTTCAAAGACGTCATCGGAATCCAAGGTTTGATTTGTATTTACGATTACCAGTACTGCACCAGTGGTGATGATGGCGAGACTGAAGAGAATCAGTACAGCAGAGAGAGCCTTGCAGAGGAGTGTATGACCTTCGAAACAGTCAAAAAGATCTTTTCTTCGGTTCATTGCTCTGCAGAAAGATTACATCATCTTAGGCGCAATTCCATGCTAAAAATATGCTTCAGTTTGGCCCTATAAAGTGATGTTAACAACCAGCACTAGAGGCCCTAGTCAGACCGATGCTAATTAAGTGCTCTGTTGTGACGAAAAAATGCAACCTTTCCGTAGGGTCGATTCATCACAT